ACTACAGCGGCGAGGGTGAGTCCACTGTAACCCTACCAAACACGTCAGTTTTCTCGGCTACTCAATTATTTTTTTCCTTAAAACAAAACTAACAATGGACGTATGAAGGACAAACTCGTCGGGCACAATAGAGTTAATTAAACTAGCTACTGATTTCCATCCTCAAACGGAAAACAAAAATGCTCTTGCTTACCTTAAAACCCTAAAGGCGTATCCAAATAATGTTCGTCAATATGCCCGCTGTTTCTGTAATAATGTTGTAGGCTTATGCGAGGAAATAAGGGCACCATCAGGCTTGGGGTAGTCCATGGTGAGGAAGGGGAGGAGGTGGTTACACGTCACTTGCAGTACATTATCCTGTGGAGTAAAATTTTGACTGTAACTAACGGAGTAAATATGCATTCACGCAGAAATCTCCATCACTAACAAAATATTCATTGACGACCAGTTCACCTCCCCATCGCCACATTAATTTCATAGCATAAGTAATACAATCCTTGATCCACAAATACCTGTTCAAATATAACATAATATACCACAATCACTATTATACAGTATATCAAATTTCATCACAATTTCCACCACTACATATTTAATATTAATACTTGTAAACTATAATTCTATTATTAAAATCTCGATCACTACTACTGTTACTACTATTAATATCACTACTGTAAATCATATTTCTTTGCCCCTGAAAAGCACTTTTTGCCTTAATTATCTTAATTCAAGTAGTCCAGCTCTAGACTATGTAGCAACCATCTTTACATAAAAATTAACACCATCACCGGTAAGATCGTGGTTTCCTTGACGAGACTCACTCGCTGCTGTAAATGCTCCATGGGGGTCAAGTGTTCTTGAACACTTGACCCCCAACATTAACATAAGTGGGCAGAGAAGGGGAGACAGAGCACTGTTCCTAATGAACAAACAGAACACCCCGAAACTAAACCCCTTACAACAAAGTACAGTAACATTCAAACCTTACTATACTTAATCTCATTTTGATGTTAATTAAATTATGCAGGCAAGTTTGTTTAACCTAAAGCATCCTAACTACAGAGTAATTTATCTACACATTTTAACAATGTTTCTGAATCCAGCGCTGGTTACCCTGCTGGCACGATAAATTGCCTTTTCAAGACACATAATCACTTGATTAACGAGGCTGAGTAAAGCTGAAGGACGGTTTCGCGGCTGAGCCCTGCACTGAATGGCTTTTCTCTATAAGTGTAAAATATTACTTTTAATTCTCGCATATCTGGTACCAACAATTTATGATAACGGGCGACTGGACTCTCCTAACCATACCTAGTTAACTAAAAAGTAAAGTTTACCATCAATAAGGAGATTACAAAGCTCAGTAATGCATGACAGACGATGCAAACCAACTAAACCTACCATATAAAAAAAACAGTATCGCTAAGTTAAGGCAGGTTTGGACAATAGAGGTCAGTTGCTGGCACACATCACACGCTGTAGACTGACTAATTTTGTTTAGACAAAATATGGTTTCGCCGCCGTAATTCGCCCTATTTTCATATATTTACACCCATATTTTCCTTGTTTTTCAACCAGATGCATATTTTTTTTATTTTAAACCTGTGCGTGAAACTAAGAAACATTTGTAAAACAGTACGACCAGTTACCCTAATTATTTGAAGAAAAAAAAATGATATACAGTAATAATACACTTCAATTTTCTGTTATCCTAATTGTGGATCTCAAGCTCCATGCATTATTCACATATATATACTTAACGCTGCAGGGTCACGTATTAATATTTCACCAAAGACCAGAATTTAAGCATTTAATCTAATAAGCTACACGTCACAATCTGCCAGGACAGTAGTCATGAAAAAGTTCTCCATTTATCATCACGAGTAGAGACTGGGGCCTGACATGAGAAAATCCTTAAAAAACAGACCAAATAAATTATTCCCTAACGAAAAATAAATACATATAACACCATAAGGTTCATCTGGCCCAAGAAACTAGTTCATCTCTGGCCTCTAAGCAAATTGAACACACAGAAAAACAAAATACACACGACTTCCTTACACTTTGGGAAGTATACCTCACACGACAGCTGCTCAGCACGTAGTGAATCCCGAAAATTCCGCAAGAGCGGCAAGACTGTGAGAAAACATGCAGTGAAATGGCAGCCTTTGGCAGCTGGCTGAAGACTAACGCATTAGCAATTACCCTGCCAACCCCTAGATGGCATCTCACCTGTCACAATAATTGCTGACGGCCTACCTACCACATTGGGTGTTTCAACTCGCCAGATATCTCCTCCTAGACGAGTCTGTTTTTAATCGATAAACTCTCTAGGAAATTTGGTATGTCTGAATAGTGCAGATTTTTTTTTAATTATTAATTATTATGAATTATGTATAAATATAAGTTTACCGACCATGGCGCGTTCTTCTGTCTCTCTCTAATGATAAAGAAAATGGTTAAAGAAAAGTATTTCCAGGGGTAACTTATATATTGTGTACTATTTGAATACAGTACATTAAATCTTGTGGTGAAAATAACAATAATACTGTACCTTAGTAATCGTGCGATACATTACTTAACTTGTTATTAAAAAAAGTATATAATCGTATTTATGGTCCTTCGGTGAAATCTCTCTGAGGCATACAAGTATAACGTATCTGATTAGATGAGACCGTTCTCCTGTTCTCAATATTTGACTACTCAAGGTACTTCTAATCTTATAATAAATACATATAACAAACAAAGTTTACTGTTAGATAAACTTGTTTCCAGTAGCACAGAGCTAACAGGTACAGTTGGAGAGGACTAATCCTGAGTTTCCAGATGCATTATTTATTTGTACTGAAAACTTTAGTACTGTACTGCAAAATAGATTTATCAAATTAACCACTTTGAGATGTTTCGTACCATTATATGATATTCAGTCAAGCATCCCGACTGTTCATATGTAGTTGAGGTAAATCTTTGATAATGTTTTGCCAAGCAAAAAAAGAAAAAAAAACAGGTAAACAACAGAAATGGTTGCCTGTTTGAAATAAAAAACGCTCATTGGTCCCTATAAACATGTTATAATACTCTGGAGAATAGGAATAACCAGATGTAATTTATTCCCTAATCTAAACGAATAAAATTGATTCGATAAAAAAAAAAATAATAATTAAAATTGGTCACGGACGTCAACCGGTGAGTGTCGCTGGCAGACGAACAAATAACTATTTTTCCTGCTAAAATACTGAATAATTACTCCACGAAATTAGCGTCTGCGTCCTGGTGGTAACTAGATCAAATCGTACGACTCTCTGGTTCTCTTTATAGAATATCTTCTATATTTATTAGCTCTGGGACTGGCCGTCGGGGACCTGATGGCTCCCAGGTCAAACTGGAGTATATATAAAAAAACGTGATTGTGAAGGTGAGTAATATTTGATTACCTCGGGGACCTGCAACTCTGCCTTGCCAGCTAGGAGGGCGCTCTGAAGTCCTACATATAAAGTTCAGTACCCACTCTAAATGTGGGTTAGCCATAGGAAGGACATCCAGTCACAAGACTTGCTTCAAATTTGCTTGAACACAGCTAACTCACGCCATCAGCTGAATACGGCTAACCCACGCCATCAGCTGAACGCGGCTCACCCACGCCATCAGCTGAACACGGCAACCCACGCCATCAGCTGAACACAGCTAACCCACGGGTGTGGAAAATTTACGTCAAATAGCAATAATAGTAATGATGATAGTGATGACTGATCATGGTGATAACAATGATTGATGATGATGATGATGATGATGATGATGACGCTGATGACAATGATTGATGATAGTGATGATGACAGTTATGATGATTAATAATGGTGTTGACGATGATGACAATGGTAATAATTGATGATGATGACCATGGCAATGATTGATGATTGATGATGATGTCAATGACTGATGATGATGAAGGGAGAAATATATCATCCCTACATCTATGCTTAAGGAATTAGTCATTGTTCTTGTCGACACGGTATAATAAAGAGGGAAACAGTAAGTGGTGGACTGACAAGTGAACACTCTACTGTACAGTGTGAAGAGTTACCTACAGTATAATTTAGACGTAGTTAAAGAGGATGGAAATCAACAAGACTCACCCAATCCTTAGAGCCTTAGTATCACTGGTTATAATCTTATTGTTTGTATATACAGTAAGTGCTCCAACATACCGAGGTATTTAACACCATTCACAAGTGTCAGTTTTTACACCAGACAATAACGAAACCCATCATTACACAAGAGATTCTTATAAATTCCTATATATTTATAAGGTTCTGTAACAGTATAGCGTCATTTTTATCTGCCCATTGTTTGGCCAGTTTTCTCTCTAAGTCAATAAGTTTGGAGAGCCGATCAACTGTTCAGGTAATTAGTCCCACTACGTTCAAAATAAGCAATGAGGAGTAGTTTTGTCTTACCTAGCTGTGTGTACTTGGCGGAAGAAGCTTATATTTGTGAATTCTTACATTACTGCTATGAAGCCTCAATGTCAGACAATACAAGCTTCTTCCCAAACACGTCGACCATAACCCCAGTAAGATGCGATACACTATTGATAAAGTCCTCACGTTTATCAGACTGTGGGAATACATGAACAGAATTTTGCGGTAAACTCTGTGAATATCGGTTTTCTACACGGCCATGTCACAGGAATTATTCATTTGCTTAAAATCAATATCGAGAATGGAAAACGTTTCGTCGGTCTCACTGTTTGGCGCGTTTGTTTTTCCCTTTAAAGCCTTCTCCAGCCATGACACAAGATGGCAGTAGTCAGGAACCTACAAACACACATTTTCATTCGTTGTCGCTCAATCTTTCATAACAAGGCTCCCTATTTCTATCTGGTTTAACCTCGTCGCTTCACATAACCTACCAACACCTTAGTATCATTCTGTGTTACGATATCCAGGGTGTCAAAAGAATATCACGATCAAGGAAGATTTTGTGGGTAAAGAAAACAGCACTGACGACACCAGCTTCTCTACCGGCAACCTTTATTGACTATAAACACTCAATGTTTGTATCATATATTCTTTTTATCATGTCCTTGTATCGCCAATCAGCCTACTTAACACATTCCATCAGCAAGTCCAATAGAATGTCAATTTGAATTTTAAAGTTGACTATTGAAGTGCAAACACATGCCATGAGTAAATCTTAATATAAACTGCTTCAGAATGAGTAGTTTAGGAAGGCCACAAATTTAAGTCCATCTCAGAGCATCATGTTCCATCCCTTCCTACTGTACAATGTTGTCTATGAAATACTGTTGTAGAGACGCCACCTCAAGACATCGTGCGTCACCAGAGGTCAGATGTTATTGGGGAGGTCAGTGGGTGTCAGTTGTCGCCACTGACAGCTGGGGTGATAATAAATCATGAAGGATCATGAAAGATGCTGGATGCTGTCCAAAGTTGCTGTCCAAAGTTGCTAGACTATAAGTTACCAGAGGTCATCAGACAGGACCTTGCCGGCAGTGGTGACGTAATAGGTCACAGCGGCCAGGTGCTGGGAGAACTGGTCCCAGCGCTCCTCTTGCTGCTCAGGGTCTAGGTCAGTGATGCCGTCCAGGGCGTCTGTCAATCCGGCAAAGGCGGTGCTGGCGTAAATGTTGCTGATGCTCGGCACCATCACCACGTGACTACGACAGAACACAAGTTGAGGTTAAATGAGGCGATTCTTACCTAACACAAGTAAGCATCAGACACGGTCAACTATGTGTGCTGGAGTGAGATAAAGCGGTCCGGAGTGTTGCTCCACCTTTAGTGAATGTTACAACAGTGTAACTATCATGTGTTCACCAATGTTTGGAAGTTAGGGAACTCCTATAAACTTAGTACTGTATACTCTTAAATGCACATTTTTCTTGCTTCATTGTTTAATTTTACTGACCTAATTTATACTTCCGATATTAATAAGATTTTTTACTGAAGTTAAAACTGTTCCCTCTCTATAGAACATAATGCCCATAATAGTTAAGTACAAATACCAAATCCTGTAAATTATCCTGATTCTTTTACAATAGTAAAAAACTGTATAATGGGAAGAGTAATCCAGCTGGACCACGCTGGAGGGCGGCAGTGATCTATGGGAGGTTATTCCACTTTTTTGTGAACCTGGCAGAAGCTCCAGCTGTCTGGAGTAAGACTCTACAATATCGTTGACTTCTTTTGTGGTTTGACTTCTCCCTCGATTACTAATGCTGACACTTCCCTTTTCTCCAGCACTCTCATGTATCACATATGGTTTCCTTTCAGAGTTAAGGGGGAGAGAGAGGCACAAGAAGTTACTCTATGGACGTACGGGTGGAGAGGCGGGAGAAGAAATACTGTTCTTTACACATGATTTATGTTTCCTCGACGACTCTGATGTTTCCTATAATATTTCTGTGCGACTGAGAGATCTGGATAATAAAATACCCCCTTGTATATATCTTTTTTGAGGATTTTCTCTGCAATATCTGGCAAGTCACCATTCAGCCACGAGCCCAGTCTATGTTATACCTGTACATCATCAACTCAAGGTTCTTGGTGAGCCTTATAATGACACACAAGAAGAACAGAAAAATGATAATAACAGAATAAACAAGATCTGGAAATTAAAAGTACATGGTATTTCACAGGAAACTATCTGAACGATAGGCGAGGTCTTACTTGTAGTCAGGTCGTCCTGGGAGGCCGTGAGGGTCAATCATTGCTCGCTCCACCATCATCATCTGGTCGTTCACCCGCCGCACCGCCAGGGGGCTGAGGACACAAGTTAGATCAGGTAAGGTTAAAAGGCAGCAGCGAATTCGAATTGTGTGTTTTAAATCAAAGGATTATTTTACTCCTATTTAGAGTTTTATTTTTTTAACGTCAGAAGCGGAGGGTGATTCCTACAATGTAGCAATATAAAAATTATGGTGCACAAATATATGTTTACTCAGTGTCTTATTATCTATCTCATTTATTTCCGAGCCAAAAAGTGGAACCTTAAAGCTAGATCTGATATTTAAATGCACCTTAAGGCTACCGAAATAATCATGTTCTGATTCTGACATTAAAAGTTAGAAAGTTGATATTGTGTGTGATTCAATTAGGGAATGTAATTTTGCTATGTAAGTTGGGGCAAAACTATTCTAAAAATGCTTGTTGGAAAAACATTTCTAAATGTCATCACGTTCTAATTAAATGAGTCCAGGGAGAATAAATGAGGACTATAACAGAGGACCAAGTCTGTTAAACTCAACCTGGCGCAGATAAAACCTAAATGTGAGGTTGTCAGGTGTATGTAATCACAGTATGTGGTATTATCATCATTGGTTAACATACTTTATTTTTTACTTTTACTGTGTGCATTTAAAATTTTGATAAGTTTAAAAGAAATATCTTACTAGTATTCAACATGCATTATTAACATCTGTGTACTGACATAAGCGTGTCCATGTAGAAGCCTTGCTCACTTGGTAGAGTTTATGTTGATAATGTTATTGGTGAAGTTCCTGGCAGCTTGCGAGAACTCCGTCACGGCAGCGCAGAAGTAATCTGATCAACACATAACACAGGCAAGTAGTATTCATTATCTGGTAGGGGACAATCTGCTTCCCACACACACTAAAACAACCCTGTCATGAACCTACCTTATAAACTGTTATATGAACGTACAGTCGTAATATTGGAACCACTTCATTTTCATCTTCTGTGAGAATTTGAATGAACGAACGACAAAACAAATTCAACGTGAGGTGTAGTGGCGGCGGTACTCCTCAGAGAATACACAAGAGGCTACAAAATCTGAGTTAAACAAACCTAATCTATTCTGAAGTATCTAAACAAAACCTGAACTAACATACCCGAAGACCGTTACATTAGGTCTTGGTTAGGCTAGTCATGTTTGGTTCAGTTGGGTGTAGTTAGGTCATGTTGCATGAAGTCATGTTGAGGGAGGTAAAAGCAAAACCCCCGATGCATCTATACAAAAATGTCGTCAATAAGTGTTACTAGTAAACGCCTGACTGACAGACGTTCTCTTGACTATATGTGCGTATAATTTTGTGTCCACAGAAGATAAGGGGTAAAACTGTCTTCACATTACAAATTCCAACAAGTTGCTTAATTTGTCCTATAAAATGAATCAGCAAATAAGTGTTAAGGTAATGATGACGTGAAAGATCAAGTTAATCATATTAATTACAGAATATAACGTTCTGTTTATAGCATGCTAATGATCAAATGGATCATGTCAGAGACGCATTGTACAATATAAGATAGCTTACCTTATAAGACTACCATTGTATCGTTTTCTCTGGTTCACCATCTTTTATTTACAGAAAGCGATTTCTATCATACGATTTTGATTGCCAACACGCAATCTCTATATCATGTTAGACTCAAAGAGAAAGACATATATATGCAGGTGTCTACTATAGCAAAAACACACATAATTAAATGGCTGACGGGCTACCAAGGTAAATATGTACTGTAGTTCTATATATACACAAATCCCGGGGTGGAAATACTGTAACACACAGTGATGATGGTGGTGGTGGATGGCGTTGATAACATGGACGAGACAAAAGGTACGGTAGTCGCCATTCAAATAATACTGTACATGTCTCAGTAAGCAAGATTGTTGCGGTTCACGTGATAACATCCAGAGACCACATATAACCATCCCAACTACCATACAGCGTTAATTTAATAATGAATCGAAGGTGAAATGACGCCAGGGTTTCATTTTAGCGTCGATTCATCCCTGAGGTGACATCAAATGTCAGCTGGGATGGTTTCTGACCTAAGGTGATGTTCCTGGAGGAGATGAGGTCGCCATAATGCTCCACCAACTGGTCAAACGCCACCGTCACGAAGTCGCCGTACTCCACCAGCGAGAAGGGTAGCAGCTGGCCAGATAAACAAGAGGTGACAATTACCATGCGAATTAAATATGGCGTTGTAGGTTGATACGTTTATGTTCGGTTCTGAAAATCATGTGTTTATTCTGGTTGGAGGAAGGGAGGAGGGGGCAGGTGAGAAGGGGGAGGATGGTATAAGAAGGGGTATTAGAGGAAGATGAAGAGGGAGGAAGGGGAGGTGAGAAGGGGGGAGAAGAGGGGAGGTGAGGAGGAGGGAAGAGATTGGGGGCGGGGGTAAATATCTCATTGAGAATATGGCATAATGAGAAGCGAGTAACAAACAACACTCATAAATAGTTATTATTATTTTCAATGATTCATATTTATGGAGACTAATATTTACTTACATGACTCCCGATAACAAACTTTCAGGAACTGAATTCAGAAACGACACAGATTCCCATAGACGTGACTAACTGGGTGACGGTTCAACACATTAGTTTTTTTACCTGAATCTTATAAACTTAATACATACAATATCTATTTTTACACGTATATCAACCAAAGTTCAGAGCATTTTGTGATGGACTCTTTTGTCGAAACATGTTGGTTGTCTGTTAAATATTTCTCTTATGTTTTGTTATGCAGGGATTGCTTTACTATTTACTCTAGGACGGGGACAATACCTGTAAAATTCGTACATAAAACAGGAGAAAACCCCGTGTTGACCTGAGAGTCCTCTATACCATAATACCTACAGTATATTGTCTACCAATGTATACATCTCTTGCGTTAAATACTGGCAGGATTTCTTGTCCTGGTTACTCAAGAGAGGAGACACGGACTGTTGGATAGACTTTATAACTAATACGGAGGTCTGAAAATGAGTCACGATCTGTATTAAATCCTTAATGGCGGAAGAAAATTTACATCACGGAGTAACCAGAGGAGTTCCTAAGTTGAGCAGTCAGGAGTAGGAAGAACGCCAGTGTATCACTCGTTACTAGTTCCCACATAAGAAAATTTCCAGTAAATACAATTTTTTTTTACAAAAATATTTCTTTAAGAACTAAAGTTATTTGCAAATGCATAAATTTATAGTTGCGAACAGTACTTACGACAATAGCAGATGAAGAGCTTAAATACAATAACAACTCAACCGCAAAACACATTGTACCAAGGGCCAGAAAATTCAATGTAATATTCCTTTGCTGGAGATCTACTCAACACGTATAGTATGTATAGTATAGTATAGTACAGTATAGTACTACGTATAGTACAGTACCTGAGCATCAGCGAGGTTCACCGCCATCACCGCCCACATCTGCGTGACGGCGGCTTGGAAGTTGAAGCCTCTGTCGTAGAGCTCGTCCGCCGCGGCGAAGGTCTCGTACAGTGTGTGGTAGAGAGGCTGGGTGTATAAGCCCTGTACCAAACAAGAAACACAACAGTGTGCTGTATGACACTTACCTCTTAACTTATATACTCATGTACCCGACCGTTTTTTTTATAATATAAAAAATGTAACATATAATTTCTTTATAAACTTCATATAAAATACTGACTTATTCAGAATTTAAGATAATGCAAAAACTTTTCCATAATTACAAAAAGTGTCGAAATCAATTTGGATTAACATCTGCTTTCACGGCAACACTACTACTAGATCACTGTTATCAAACAATGATACATAACTGAACACATACAGTTCTCCGAATACACACACCTACAAAATAGTTGTACACAAATTCCCTCACCCTCTTCATTCATTCATTCTCTCTCTCTCTCTCTCTCTCTCTCTCTCTCTCTCTCTCACCGGGCCGTGGGTGTAGCGTACGTCTAAGGAGGGTACGCCAAGGTTGTGCTGGAAGGCCTTGTAGTCGCTGCCTGATCCTAGGATGGCAACACTGCATCGCGGCCGTGGTGGAGGACGAAGGCGAAGTGATCAGTGACGGTGGTGGTCCACATTGTAGAGATCAGAGAGAGAGAGAGAAAATCCTTGAAAAATTAGGCTTTGTATAATGTTTTTAACCCCTTAGTGTTAAATGAATTAGCCCATTGGGTTATATATATTAATCCCGTCAACAAGACGATTAAACCCCTTGAATAACACTATTAAGTCTTAACATCATAATTTACTTATTTGAGAATAACGAGTGAAAAAGAATATCACTTACGAGAAAATAAACAGCAGTTATTATGCAGATTATATCCTGATCGCTATAAACACTAGAGGCATAATTTAATTTGTCTAAATCCTATGTCATTTTGGGGTTACGGCGGTTCCTGTGTTGTAAATTATGGCCCAGATTAATAAAACTGACTGGCATTAGCAATGAAAAGTTAATCCTGGTACAATGAGTTTATTAAGAGATGTAAAGCTGAATTCATTAGTGTATCCGATTAAGTATGTGGGTTTCTGTACGATCAATGTTCACAGGTGAACTACTCGACACATCAACAAACGATCAACAGAACTCAGGCCAGTAGTAACAATGGGTCATTAGTTTATTTCAGAGGTTCATAGTTGGGGTGATATTGTTTTACTGTCAATGTTTACATGATACGATAACAGTCTGTTTATGGAAGATAATAACTCATGTCATGTTACCTGTGAACGTTTAAGGTGACATCTGGTACATTTTTTTTACGGGTTATCATAAAGCTTCACACCTGACCTGGTACTGGTATTGTGTCAACTTCGAACCTTTGAAATAATCTCTTTAAAATTATTGTCATCACTAACTATAACACACAATAAACAAATAGTGGGGGACTTTTATCATAAATGGTACACTGCAACTATGTTATAATATACGTGAGCCATTCCTTTAAACATTCCAATTATAATAAAAAAATTCAGAATTCCAACTATAAAATATATATCATTCCTTATTATAAATCCTCTTTCTCCTAAAATTTCACCGTATCTCTCCCATTTGCCTCTATCCTCACCTAGGTCGTCCGGGGTGATCTGTATCAGGTCGTCTGAGCGTCCAGGTGTCGTACACAGTAGGTCGTCCGGCAGCGATCTCTTCTGGGTCAGGGTTGGGGATCTGGGAAAAATAAAACAAGTCAACTGTGCAGTATGTTCAGTCTCGTTCAAGATTCTTCGAATACTGCTGGAGACAACTGGCAACTCAAGGCCGTTTGTTTACTATAGTACAGTCACCCAAAAAAGTCGTGTCGCCTCTCACCCTGAACCATGAACCCCGAGATTCAGACTCTTGAATCTGAAGCATTTATGGACAGACTAATGTATCAGTGTCTTCTGTTTCGGGTTCACGAGTCTGAATCTCGGGGTTCGTGGTTTAGGATGAGAGGTGACAGGACTTTTTTGGGTGACTGTACGTCGTAAAATTATGAATAAATGTAAAAGTGATCGGTGATTGGTTACTTAGTTCCCCATTGCTTAATTAATGGTTGGGCTTTGTTGTTTCGTATTATAGTATACTACGTATAGTAAACAAACGGCCTTGAGTTGCCAGCTGTCTCCAACAGTGTTCGAAGAATCTTGAACGAGATTGTACACCTACCAAAAAAAAGTTCTGTCAGTTCTCTCCCTCATCTATGAACCCTGAGACATATGAATCTGTGAGTTCGAGACATCAACAATGTGTGATGTTTCAGATTCACAGGTTCAGGAGTCTCAGGGTTCATAGATGGGAGAGAGAACTGGCGGAACTTTTTTTAGTGAGTGTACAGTCCCAGACGAAAGTTCTCGCTATAGTCAAGGTGGAGAGTTTTTTTTTTTTTTTTTATTGGGCACTCCCCTACATCCTTGTGTAAGGTGTAGCGCAGAAGCGTTTACAGCGCCCAACAGGGAAGCATGCTAAGTTTATACTTGCCTTTATGTCTCATGAGTTAAGGGCGTAAAAGCCTGAAGAGTCAAGGGCGTAGAAGCCTGAAGAGTCAATGGTTTATGTCATCAAGTTATTGGAAGCTCCAACAACTTGTCCCTGAATACGAATTCGCAACTTTCGATTTACACCAGGTACCTACTTTACTGCTAGGTGAACAGGGACTAATGGGGGCTAGGAAGTAAGTCCAAACAACTTCCACCGGCCCGGGAAACGAACCCGTGACATCTCGCTTGCGAGGCAAGAACGGTACCGCTTCTACCACCGGTCCCCCTCAAGGTGGATAGATATTTATAAGGATATATCAGGCCCCCTTTTGTATTTCAACATAATCAGATAATGCATCTGGCCAACATTAGTGCTTGTTAAGGCATCAACACAAGCTTCACAGTGTAGAGATTTCTTTAACCGAAACACAAACAAGCCAGCTATATATGCAACAATTTTGTTGGAACACTGGGACAAATGGAAACTGCTAGGAACATAAGTATAATCATGGTCCTCCTCATTAGCTCAAGATGACTCGGACAACACGTCTATGTCCTCGTCTCTGAAGCGCTTTGACCACAGACGTGTATGCTTAGATGCAACAAAATTTTCACGCCTTGTTGCCCGAACCCATTCCTGTCTTAAGGCCTCATCTTTAAGAAAAGTGTAAATTAAGAGAGAAAAACTACTTCTAGAATGAGAGCTATTAAGAAAAACAATAAAGTATCCTGAGACACAATGATCTTTACTGCGACATACCGCACATGGCTGCCAATATGCATAAGCTTAATTTTTCATGTTAAGAAACAATATTAATTTCCACTGTATGTATTAATACTGACTGCTATATGGCTGATTGTAATAATATTATGCTACACTTGTCACCATGTCTTCTATCTTGCTACGTGTGTATGTACAATCAAAGAGAAAAGTCGTGTCGCGGATTAGTTCGAAGATTAAATATAACTCGTGAAACATTATGAGAACCCTCCCACAAGGCAGAGCGCAGCAAAAGTTTTAGCCCTTCGACATATATTTTCACCAAATTCCACGACATGACTTTTGTCTTTCATTGTACATATGTTATGTTTCTTATCATTGGGTTTTGTTTTGTTTGAGGTTATATTAATAATTTTCATTGTTCCCGTCACTTACTAGAATATTCTTTTGTTCTCTTCCAGATGCCATACTACCCTTGGTTAGTTATATGAACAATAAAGCCTGAGTCATAATGGAGAAGTTCCTGAGGCCGGAACGACTGGATGCTACGCCGAACTCTCCCACCTCCACGCCACTGGTTCAGGACCTTCAACATGTTCCTCACCTCCATTTCTGCTCTCGAGCCCGACAAGCTAGCCACTCTCTGCAACTTCGTCTCCCTATCTGTGTACGAATACATAGCCGACTTTGTCTCGTACGACGCCGACATCCAGATTCTGCAGGACTTTTACGTAAAGCCGGAGAACGGTGTTCGCCCATCAGACAGCGTCTCTTAGAAAATAATACTCTTGATTTGGCTACTGCATTCGACCAGGCTCGCGCGCTCGATCTGGTTCAAAGAAACTCAGAGTCCCATCTTCGGTCTCAGGCTCCTATGAACGCTGCCGCTGTTACTTTACCTGAGAAAATCGACAGCGATGACTCTGATGACTCTTCCCTCTTAGCTGCCACTCAACAATCAAAGAGTTATTTCTGTGGTGGAGCACGGCATAACCGACTTCAGTGTCCTGCGCGCGATTCAACTTGCCACAAATGCAACAAGAAAGGCCATTTTGCGAAAGTATGCAGATCATCTCGTTACTCACCTGCTACTTCATCTTCCACTTGTGCGGTCTTACACTCTTCTGCTTTGACTGCAATATCTGCGACTTCCCCTGGTTGTCGTGCTCGATCTACCATGTATGTGCTTGTTAATGACGATATAGCTACAGCCCTCGTTGATACCGGGAGCTCAAAATCGTTTGTATCAAACCGCTATATCCAGCAGAAGTCTCTGAGATGTCATCCAGGGTTAGGTCACGTGTCTATGGCATCGTCTTCCCTATCGTCGCTAGTACTAGGTCACTGTACTGTAGACATTACCCTCAAGGGGAAACTCTATCCAGATACTCAACTGACTGTTCTACCCGAACCTACGCAGTGACGTTATTCTTGGTCAAGATTTCATGATCCTACTTAGTGGCGTTACAATTTATTCCGGTCGGCCTAAAGAGCACCTCATCATCGGAGATAATACAGCTGCTTGTAGCCTAGCATCTACTTTGGTCGATCCACCATCTTTCTTCTCTAATCTGATCTCCCCCTCTAAACCTGTTGCGACGAAGTCAAGACGATTTGGTCAAGCGGACAGGGTTTTCATCCAAGGTGAAGTCGATAAGACGCTGTCGGAAGGAATAATCGAACCCAGCACTTCACTGTGGAGGGCGCAAGTCCTCATCACTACTAATGAGCGGCTCAAAAAACGGCTTGTTGTCGACTACAGCCAAACCATCAACAGGTATACCCAGCTGGATGTTTATCCCTTGCCCCGGATAGACGACTTGGTGACTAACCTATCTCGTTACAAGACATTCAGCACTCTCGACCTAAAGAGTGCGTACCATCAGATCCCTATGCGGGATACGGACTGGCTTTGAGGCGGACCGTAAACTGTACCAATTCCGTAGGGTTCCATTCGGAGTGACGAACGGCGTGGCTTGTTTCTAACGAACCATCAATGAATTCATATGTAGAAACGAACTGCTGGGTACTTTCGCGTACATTGACAACATCACCATCGCCGGTTCGTCTCAACAAGAGCACGATGAAGATCTGTCCAGATTTCCTGAAGCAGCAAAGAAGTCAAAATTCACCTTCAATGAAGACAAATCTGTCGTCTCAGCAACGTCGATTGATTTGCCGGGATACACCATATCGCATTGCACTCTCAAGCCAGACGCCGATCACTTGCGTCCTCTGAAGGAATTACCACTTCCGAAAGACTTACCTGCTCTACGACGCGTGATAGGACTCTTTTCATACTACTCCCAGTGGATCTCGCACTTTTCCGACAAAGTCAGACCTTTAGTCAAGGCTCAGACATTCCTTCTCCAAGGGGAAGCAGTCTCCGCCTTCGAAAATCTTAAAAAAAATAGCAAGTGCGGTAGTCAGCTCGATTGACGAGACGATTCCATTCGTAGTAGAAACCGACGCTTCCGACTCTTCCATCTCTGCCTCCCTGAACCAAGCCAGTTGACCAGTTGCATTCTTTTCGAGAACACTCTCAGAAAAAGAGTGCAGACACTTTTCTGTCAAAAAAGAGGCCTACTCGATCGTTGAAGCAGTAAGGAAATGGAAACATTTCCTGTCTGGCAGACACTTTACTCTCATCACCGATCAGCGAACTGTGTCCTTCATGTTTCATTCCAAGAAGCTGGGAAAAATCAAGAAAGACAAGATCCAACGATAGAGGGTCGAACTCGCCTGCTTCGACTACGACATTGTCTATCATCCAGGGACTGAAAACTCTATCGAGAGCCTTCTGTTCGGCTACCAACCACAACAGCCTGTCGCATCTCCATCTGCAGCTATGTCATCCAATTGTCAAAAGGATGGCTCACTTCAACCGCATTCGCAACTTACCCTATTCTGTAGATGACGTCAAGAAGGTATGTGCTGAGTGCTCTACCTGTGCCAAGCTTAAACTTCAGTTCTACAAACCCGACACAACCCCCTCATCAAAGCTACTCAGCCTTTTAAATGGTTAAACATCGATTTCAAGGATCCCTTGCCGTTGACTTCCCGAAATCGATACCTACTAACCGTGGTTGATGAGCATTCACGATTCCCCTTCGCGTTAGCAGGCGAAGACATGACGGCGGCAACATTCATCAAGTGTCTGCGTCAGTTATTCGCTATATTCGGCATACCTGCTTATGTCCACTCGGATCAAGGCACCTCCTTCATGAGCCGAGAGCTGAGAGATTTCCTCACTAGTTTTGGTGTGTCTACCAGCCGAACACACCCCATACAACCCTAGAGGAAGTGGTCAGTGCGAGTGCTACAACGGAATGATATGGAAAACCATGACACTTGCTCTGAGGTCCAAGAACCTCGCAGAAACTAATTGGGAATCTGTGTTACGAAGACATGTCAGGAACAATAAGTACGACCCTCTGGTTGATGAGGTTGAGCTTCTGGAAGCCAACCCACAGTATGCCCACGTTCGGTTCCCCAATGGACGACAGTCTAGCGTGTCACTCCGAGATCTGGCCCCTGCTGGACAACCTGTTCCAGATACTGCCGATCCTGAACCTGAACCGACTGAGTTACCTAAGTCATATACCTCGGTGCCCCTTGAACCTACAACCAGCACTCCAGTGGCTGAATCTCCTGTCAGGGATGACCCTTCAAGTGATGCTCCTCTGCATGAGGCTGTTTTGACAGATTCGCCCGCGCTTCCTCGTCGATCGGGTCGTGTACGTCGGAAGCCTGATTTTTATGGTTGTCCCGATGTCTAATTCAACAAGATGGGTAGAATGTAATAAAGTTATGCTACACTTGTACACTTGAACCCATGTCTTCTACCTTGTTATGTGTGTATGTACATATTATATGTTTCTTATCATTGGGTTTTGTTTTGTTTGGGGTTATATTATATTAGTAATTTTCATTGCTCCCTTCACTTACTAGAATATTCTCTTGTTCTCTTCCAGATGCCATACTGCCCTTGGTCAGTTATATGAACAATGAAGCCTAGAAAAAGGTCGACTCTAGTCTTCTTTTACCACACTGATGTTGCTATGAAGCAGGTCGTTTTTAAAGCTCAAAGAAATTAAAATCTAAGAAATAAACTTAAACATATTTTTCCATCAATATTGACATCTCTATCAGTGAACAACACTCCTAATTTATCAATGAATAGTTAAAAATAATCCCTCTTGTCACATGATTTATATTTCACTTACAGCATATGCAGTGCACGCACAGATTGCCTACTGTATATTCAAAATAACCCTTAAAACGAGAAGGGTTGAGGGAGATGTATGCACTGTAACTGGTTACACACGTTTGCCACATGATCACAGATTTTTTTACTTTATACTTAGTTCTATATCATTTAAGAAATTACTACCGATGAAATGTAAGAGGAGGATCTAAGGTCTTGTCGAACTTAGCAGTACATCCATAAGCAGTACACGATACTGGCATTTTTATAATTATGTTATACACACAAAGAGAAACATGTGCACCTGTGAACTGGTGACTGTTAACTGGCGGGACACGGCCGCGAACTAGCCTCTTTTGCCAACCACAATATGGCCGCCAGAAGTTCAGAGTGACCTCATTTTTCTGATCGGATGCCGCCTCCACTCTATTATACCTCCATGGGTCTAATACATTTGACGAGGCCCAATGGCCCATAACAAGAACTTTCCTCTGGGACTGTACATATCCAACACGAGGGTGAATGTCCATCTTGCTGTCTAACGTACAGCAGTAAAAGCGTGAACACGAAGTTATAAAGATGCATAATACAGTATAAACTGATAGAGAGAGAGAGAGAGAGAGAGAGAGAGAGAGAGAGAGAGAGAGAGAGAGAGAGAGAGAGAGACTAACCTTAGCTGCTGCCTCAAACAACAGGTGATAGAGGAGGGGTGTAGACTGCGCCCTCAGTGTGTAGTTACCTGAGGGAGAGGACCTTATGAGGCTCACCGCCATAACGTGTTAAATGCCTCACTGATGTGACTTGTTAAATATCCCAATAAGCACTTACATGTCTACTGTTATAGTGGTTATTAAAAATATAACCACAACTTTTAAAAGGAAATTTCTCTCTACAAAAACCTAACACATACGCTATTACTTACTTACTTATTTACTTACTTATTTACTTACTTACTTACTTACCATCAATTGCCATATCAACATTAAGGTAGGCGGTGGTTCTGGCCATCAACTGCTTATGGAACTGCTCGCTCCACTCCATCGACCCCACCAGGCCATACTCCTCAGCGCCCCACGAACATAACACCACAGACCGACGCGGCTGCCACCCTGAAACACGAGGCGGCGAGGTGATGAAGGTTGGGTGTGGTACCGGATGGGATGTGCTTGCGGTGAAGTGGGCGGGGTGAAAGAGGATTAGGTGTGGTGGATGTTATGATTTATAAGGTTCATGGAGGCAGTAAAGAGGAAACACGAGAGGTGGGCTAACTCAGCATTCAAGATCAGTGTCCATAAGAAAGGTCTCTCTCTCTCTATTTCTCACATATATATATATATATATATATATATATATATATATATATATATATATATATATATATATATATATATATATATATATATATATATATATATATTTCTCACACGCACCTGTTTCGTTCCTGAGCACGTTCAGGACGCGAGAGAGCTCGAGTAGTGCGGCAGTGGACGAGGATGGGTCGAGGCCTCCTAAGTACCAGGCGTCGCGATGGTTACCCAGGATCACGTAGCGGTCTGTTGATAAATACTTGAGTCAGCGAGAAGGAGGGTGAGGCATGGACGAGTAGAACTAACTTAGACATCCCCCCCCTCCCCACACGCGCACACACACCCAGATGCGTGAATACCATACCATCTTCCCCTGGCAACTTCTATTGCTAGGGGCATGAAGGAAGTGGGATGACAAACAAGCAGTCACGGGCAAATATACCTTCAAGTAGTCTCAAGTTAGACACCCCAAACCTCTCAGCCAAGAGCTCTCTTACTCGTCTAATAGAAATTATGACCTGAGCATAAACTGTGAGATAAAAAGCCTGAGGGTCCTCATAGCTCTTCCCTCACCGGGTTCCTCGCTGCCCCTTATGACGGAGACCACGTCGTAGATGGTTGTGGGGACGTTGTGAGTGAGCACCTCCATGGTGACCTTCCATCCGGTCTCTGCCAATCCAGGACCCAGCCGGTACGTCACGTTGAGGCCACCCTGCCACCCACTGGGCACCAACTCGCCGCCCATATGTCTAACATAGAGAACCAGAGGTAAAGAATAATAGTATTTTGGATCCATTGTATGACCTTTCCAATAACAAGCAGAAACGTGGACGTTCATAAAGGAATATGCGACATGCGACATCCTCTTCCTATATACTTCATGTCACAACACCACAAAAATTCTAAATACGTCAGCATCACGTATGTAAACCTTGCGTAAAGCACAATCTACAATATTCAACGCTTATATTATTGTATATATCTCTATTATGAGGGTTACACACACACACACACACACACACACACACACTAGCACGCACGCACTCACAGGGCTGCTGTTTAAGTTGTCTTCTCTGGGAAAAAATCGACGGAACTGCAGTTTAAGATATATTTTTGCAGTACTTGACCTCTGACCTATACAAAATCTATACTATGTAGTCGGTATAGAATATTAGTATAGATGAAAACGAAAACTTAAAAAAAAACAATACAGAAAAAAACGATGAAAGGGATAATTTAAGAAAATAAATGAAAAGGAAAAAGAACAAAAGTGCGTCGCAAAATGCCGTAACAGAAGGAACACAGAGGAGGAGGAAGAATGTGTAGGTGGTGGAAGCAATAACAGTGGGAACTATTCAGGATGAGGAGGAGGAGGAGGAAGTGAGAAGTTGAGAGGGGATACCTGAGTATGTGCCGGGCGTCGTCGTAGCTGATTGGCTGGATGGGGATCCTGGGCAGGTTGGCTTTAGACTCCGACATGCGGTAGGCGCTATCTGGGGGGGTAGGCGTGGGTGATGGTCTCTCTCTCTTACTGCGTAATTATACTATCCTACTCTCATGGTAAGCTGATACGGGCAAAGGGGTAAAATGTTCGTAAGAGACGATGAAAACTGGTGAAAGGCAAAAGTTCTGTGTCTCCCTTCATCCCCTCTGTGCCCATCCTCCCATGTTACATCCCTTCCTAGCCAAATATCCTTCCTCCTGGAGCAGAGGTTCCCAAACTGTTTAACATGACGCACCTTTTGCTTTTTGCGAAGTCCTCACCCACCCCCCCCCCCTTATATTTTTGTATGTAAAATCTACATAATTTTATTTTTTATTATATTTATATTTTAGTATTGTTGAGGATCAGATAACTGCTTACATAGTGAACATGGATGAAAACAAATGAAACATAAATAATACCAGTATAAAAGACTTTAATTATACAGTATACTTCAATGACGGAGGATCGGTGGCTAGTAGTGTTGTGAAAGATACGAGTAGTGTGCGAGTCAGCATGGTATCCGTGACATGTACAAGACGCGTAAGGAGAGAGAGATGAAATGATAGAAAACGAATAGGGGTGACTGCTATACTTTGGTTTTGCATGGATGTGTGGGTGATTCAAATGGAGAGAGTTACTCCTGAAAGAGTTTCTTCATTATATTATTTTTGAGCAAAAAATAGCAAATTTGGGCAGATGGCTTCATGCCTCCCCTGTACCCACCTCACGCCCCCTTGTGCCCCCCAGTTTGGGAATCACTGTCCTAGTGACAGTCCTGGCATTTGACATTATTAGGGACCTACTACACTCTGCCATAAACAGATGAACTGTACAGGTAATTCTCCCTATTTACATTTAATCTTACTTCACTACAGTACGTGTAACTTATTAACAAAACCAAAGGCTCCTAGGCACTCTCGCCCACCCATCATCTAATTCAAAGAAGGCAAGCATGAACTCCGCTGCTTCCCTGTTGGGTGCTGTAATGTTACTGCGCTTCACCTTACACAGGATGTAGGAGGGAGTCCAGTACACTAGCTCCCACCGCGCTGCGTGGGGAACAAATCTGAATCTGTACAAGGCTCTAGTACCGATTAAGCCCATGACCTTTACAGTGATGTACTCCCGTGGTACAGACCCACGACCCTAAGATTGACGTACTTCCCTGGTACTGACCTACAGCCGGGTAGAGAAGGGTGAGGGGATCACCATCATGTGTGAAGACGGTACCGACAGGCACACCTGAGCCAGGTAGGTACACCGTGCTGGGGTACACCTCCTCCTCCCCCAGCGGTGAGAACTGCTGGGGATCAGGGTACAACAACACACCAACCGCCCCACGACCCTCCGCTGTCGCTGCCTGGTGGTACAGTGTTGATGAAACAATGATGGTACAATGGTGATAGTGATACGATGACGGTACAGAGGAAATTCAGTGATGAAATGATACATTAATTAATGATGATATAATGACTTGGTATTGACACAGTTACACAATGACAGCATAATGACAGTGATGTTGTAATAGTGAAGCAAGATGTGGACACATGTGAACCAACATCAGGTGAGGACACATGTGAACAAACATCAGGCGAGGACACATGTGAACCAACATCAGGTGAGGACACATGTGAACAAACAACATCAAGTGAGGGAACAAGTGAACAAACAACATCAGGTTATGACACATGTGAACAAACAACATCAGGTGAGGACACATGTGAACAAACAACGTCAGGTGAGGACACTTGTGAACAAACAACATCAGGTGAGGACACATGTGAACAAACAACATCAAGTGAGGGAACAAGTGAACAAACAACATCAGGTTATGACACATGTGAACAAACAACATCAGGTGAGGACACATGTGAACAAACAACGTCAGGTGAGGACACTTGTGAACAAACAACATCAGGTGAGGACACATGTGAACAAACAACATCAAGTGAGGGAACAAGTGAACAAACAACATCAGGTTATGACACATGTGAACAAACAACATCAGGTGAGGACACATGTGAACAAACAACGTCAGGTGAGGACACATGTGAACAAACAACGTCAGGTGAGGACACTTGTGAACAAACAACGTCAGGTGAGGACACATGTAAACCAACATCAGGTGAGGACACATGTGAACAAACACCATCAAGTGAGGGAACAAGTGAACAAACAACATCAGGTTATGACACATGTGAACAAACAACATCAGGTGAGGACACATGTGAACAAACAACGTCAGGTGAGGACACTTGTGAACAAACAACGTCAGGTGAGGACACTTGTCAGGTGAACAACAAACAACATCAGGTCACTCAAACAACATCAGGTGAGGACACTTGTGAACAAACAACATCAGGTGAGGACACTTGTGAACAAACAACATCAGGTGAGGACACTTGTGAACAAACAACATCAGGTGAGGACACTTGTGAACAAACAACATCAGGTGAGGACACTTGTGAACAAACAACATCAGGTGAGGACACTTGTGAACAAACAACGTCAGGTGAGGACACTTGTGAACAAACAACGTCAGGTGAGGGCACTTGTGAACAAACAACGTCAGGTGAGGACAATTGTGAACAAACAACGTCAGGTGAGGACACTTGTGAACAAACAACGTCAGGTGAGGACACTTGTGAACAAACAACGTCAGGTGTAGGAAACTTACAATGTTGCCGCGGAAGACCTCACCGTACCGGGCCATCACAATCCTACCCTTCACCTCGACGCCCAAGTTCTCGAGAGCCTTGAAGTCCTCCTCCCGGCCAAAGTGGGCGTATACCACGTCCCCCTGCGGCAGGGACATATATATATATATATATATATATATATATATATATATATATATATATATATATATATATATATATATATATATATATATATATATATATATATATGGAGGATTAATGTCACTGAACAAAAATCAATGAACATGGTATGAAAAGTTATCTAAGCTTAGTCACGTAAAATATGTATATTGGTGAATTATGCATCGTGGAAACATACATTTATGAACTACACATACCATATATATGAAATAATTATACACGACCTTTACTTTCATATATTGTACTGAATTTACATCATGTTTACACACATTCATAGACATGTAAACTCATGTAAACAATGCATCCTACAATCCTAATAACGAGAGGCATTAACTACTCATATCCTGCTATGGTGGTAGAGGCAGGACTCACCGCCACGCTGCCGGGGGCGGAGTAGGCGTTGAAGTCTGGCAGGACGTCTGGGGATGCCTCCTCGGGGGCGTAGAGGGGTTTCTGCCTTCCCGGGGACGTCCACACGGCTGCCCCTGAGTCGTTTAAGATACGGACCTGCGACCACAAGACACGACGCCCTCATTGTATGTACAGAAGGACGGAGGTCAGGAGTAGTGAGAGGTCAGGAATGGTGAGCGGTCAGGAGTGAGTGGTGAGGGGTCAGGAGTAGTGAAGGTCAGGAGTAGTGAGAGGTCAGGAGTGGTGAGGGGTCAGGGGTAGTGAGAGGTCAGGAATGGTGAGCGGTCAGGAGTGGTGAGGGGTCAGGAGTAGTGAAGGTCAGGAGTAGTGAGAGGTCAGGAGTGGTGAGGGGTCAGGGGTGGTGAGAGGTCATGAGACGTAATGAGACATATGTACTGTTTATCTCTAAGTATGGGATATTAAGTGCTTCTGGCAATGGCAAGGCTCACGGGTTCCCGAGCTGCAGTCACTCACTTATGGATGCAGTCATGACACTGACCCGAAACACCGCTACTCACTTGTGGGAAATCTTAAAATTACGACATCCAATTAAAAAAAATAGATTGAGGTGTTACAGAGGTATTGCCTGGGTGCGAGACCATGGGATTTGAAATAACCTCAAATTGATCGGAAAAAAGAACAATGCAAATACAGTAGTCAGAAGGACAACCTTACCGATGCTAATCGATCCAACTACCCTAGTTTAGGAGTTTTCACACTATTGTGAGTTGCCTAAGTCAGGTGCTGGTATTTTCGGAGCCAAGAAACGACTTAAGCTGTTCTATTACTTATCATTAACGTATTTTAAGGTACGTATTCTTCATTTTTCGAAACATCCCCTGTATTAAACGGCCAGTGTACGAAACAACCTGTGTACTAAACTGTCAGTGTAAGAAATAACCTGTGCACTAAACTGTCAGTGTAAGAAACAACCTGTGTACTAAACTGTCAGTGTACGAAACTACTCGTATCTCAATAGTGTGTCAACAGGCCTGGGGTACAGTAATCATTACGCCAGGAGAATATCTCACCAGGTTGGGGGTGTCCTTCTCAGGGTAAGAGAGGAGGACCTGGTAGGCTACCTGATGAACCTCGTCCATGCCCTGAGCCCTCCACGTCTCTTCCACCCATTTCGCTGTCTCCAACTCCGCAGGCGTCCCTGCCACGTGAGGCTTCAGAGTCAGATGCCTAGGAGAGGGGTGGGGGAGAAAACGGGGATGAGAGAGAAAAAATGAGAGGCAGGTAAGCAGCGACCGACTGACAGAAACTCAGAATACCGAAGTGTAAACAAAATCAGAAAGATATACGTGGAGGAGGAGAGAGAATGATGAATAATCTGACACATATAGAATTGGGACCCAGGTGTCCAAGGTACCCAACAGATAAATGAATAAACATATCCTCCCCGCCATAGTGCCATCAATAGTGTTATATACAGTACAGTCGCTGACGACTAACCTAAGGTTATTTCTGATGTTGTCATGGTTCACTTCTCTGATAATGAAATCGTCGATGGTCTCACTCACTGATGTCCGGCTCCCTCCTCCTTCTCCTTCACCTTCATCGCTCCCCGGCCACCAGCCTGACAAGTACGCACCTGAGGGAGCAAGACGCCGGCAGTGAGAGATGGTGCATTTTAACAGTAAAACGGAGACATTCCTCAAAAGGTAAATATTTGTTTACGCTAAAAATTAGACAATTTGTTCTTATGGTAAACGTTTTCGACGCTAGAAACGAGTTAAGTCGCTTCTTAAGTGATTTTGTTTTGCACAAAACTTGTGTAAATTTGCTTCTGGGAGGATCATGTTGACAATAGTCACCAGGTCACTTTTGATATACTTCTTTACACTAAGCGTAGGACAAACGACTTTCCAGAGAATTATTTGTATCACTAATTGTAGACCTAAACCAGTTGTATCCATTTTTCATGACTCACTGACTATGACGAAGCCGCTGAAGAAGACCAGGCAGCCCACTGCCAGAGTCACGCCTTTCACTGTCACCATCATGCAACGCCGTGGTGAGTCCTGTAGTCGCTGATGTGTTCTCTGAAGTGAAGGTGTTTATCATGACGTCAGTGCATTAACAATGACATAGTAAATAAAAACAAAGGCTAATCTGACTGAGAAACGAAGGATAGAGCCACGAAGATGAGGTAAGAGAGGAGAAGAATTTAAAGTTATAATTTCTTATTCAATTATTCTTACACTATTGTAATATAAACTTCTAAGAGTGACATACTGTTCATAGAGGAGGCCAACTTGTAAGAGGAAAAACATCTCCTTAACATATAAACAGGGAGGGGCGCTAACATTGAACTCTCAGTAGTGTTAAGAATATATGAATCTTTTATTACTACAGAACGAAAGAAAATCTTGATGCTAAAGATAATTGAGAAATATTAACCAGTGTTACTTGTAATATACAATAAAAGGGTTGAGAGTTGTTTAAGAATCTTCAGTTTCCACAAATTTTTATAAGTTTTCTTTAGTTGAGTGCAGCGCCCGGATAGATTTCAAAGAACTGACATTGATTGTGATACCGAGGCAACCGACCGGGCAGAAGAACGCCAGAAGACACTAAATGAATATGAGTACCATATACACAGGAATATTTTCTTTAACTAACTGGGAGACGATCAATCTATATATTGTATACAAAACACAGTGTCTGATTTTCTGTTTGTATATTTTGGATGTCTGGTATATAACACTAAAGTTTTGAAGATGGAAAGCTGAAATCTAACAAGAAAATGCGCATGTACCGTCGGAAACCATAATCTCTAGCCCACCTGGGTCGGTGCTGGAGGTTAGTACAATGTCCTTTCTGGACGGGGTCCCCCACTAGCTATCACGAGGCAACACACGCACGAACACACACAGTCATAGTACGGCTGTATAGATGACATTATTTATAAGTATTGTATATGGCATTTTATACTCTGCATTATCTTCATTATATATGAACTCGAAGAAAAATTACCCTAGGTTGTAGTTACGAAATTATGAATGGAAATAAAAACTTCCAAACCACCGAGTGAATCCACACAACGTTTTCAGCGCTTATGTGTGTGCCAAACCACGATGCTTCCACCACACCCCACCTATATCTCTAATTTTCCCTTCATTTGCATAACTATATGAAAAATCGCGTTTAATTTAACTACATATTTCAAAAACCTTATATTACATGTGGATCAGTCACTCCTCATTTGACACACTTATAGTGTAATACTTTGACCATCCCACCTGGGCACATGGAAGCCCACGGGGCACGGTAACGCTCACGGGGCAACATACGCACGAACACACAAGTTATGATATGAACCCTTCCAGGCTTCACTATCATTATCATGTTATGTTCATCGTGCTCTGTATCTTGGTAACTAGTCATAGTATCAATACATGGAGGAAAATCTATATTAATATACTATAATATTGCATTTTATTGCAAACCGTAAAAAATCTTGTTTAACCATTGGACGTCAGGGAAAGCACCACACACTGGAGTTACGAAATGAAGAAACGAGGACATAGGAATGACCGACCTGACGTTGTGTGTAGGGAGGCCTGCCCTATCAGTGTGGACATGGTTGCTCAAAGGGTAAGTCGTATAATTCATCCTTGCATTTGTTGAGAAGAGTTATATATATATATATATATATATATATATATATATATATATATATATATATATATATATATATATATATATTTACTTTCCCTTACCCTAGCAAACTAGTTAGCATAGCATAACCAAACAGCCTCGCAAGGACCAATAGGTCTGTATATAATGTGTGTGCATGCGCTAAAGTGACCTAGTATATTTTACTAATGTCTCATTGTCCATGGGTTTTCTTACAGTTTGGCTGTGAGTTTTCTATTTTGTCTACCTGCCAGTTCAACAGGACTGCTAACCATCCACCTAGCAACTCATATGCCATCCCAGACCCACAGCCTATATGTATGGTGAAAGACCGCAGTCCAATACATTCAAGTCGGGCAGTCAAGCGTTAGTTTGAGGCGCACCCTCAGATTATTCTATTGCACTGGCCCCCTAAAGGAGCCGATTGTAATCCAATAGAAAATCTATGGGCGCATATGGTTGTTGAATGGGATGTTGAGGAGAAAACGAGGGAGGCAGTGAGGAGACACGCACATAATGTGTGGGAGGGAATAAGGAGGAGCCCGAACATCTGCAGCAATCTGGTAGATTCCATGCCCACCAGATTGCATGAAGTTATAGCAGCAGATGGAGGTTGGACACGGTATTAACCTGTGGTCAAGAATTAAATCTCCGCCCACGACGGTGCCTTGTAGGGGGTGGCGGGGGAGTTAGCTCTCTGGTGTAACCTCGTTGGGGCCACATAGACTTCGTTTCCTAACTCTCGGGAATTTGTCCAGGTATTTTACTATGTGGTTTTACGTCACTTCACATAAATATGCTTACAAAATCTATGCATTAATATGCATAACTCTTGGGAATCTGTCCAGACATTAAATATATGTTATATACTACAATAATCACATAGATATGTTTACAATGTTTATGCATAATAAATGTGAAAAATATTTTTGGGGTTTCAATTAACCAATAGTCATGCCTACAAAACAATCTTGATCCTCTAAGTGCATGTATGTGTTAAATAACGAGTAACTGATCCACAATATTTTGTTAAATAAAGAAATGAAAAGCAAGCACTTAGCCATATGGATATAGTTACACGGAAGAAGGGAAATAAGGATGAACCATGGTTTTGGTGGAAACACTGTGCTCTGGGACGATGCTCACAATGACGAATGGGAGAAACCTCTTTATAAAACATCTTACCTACTAAGGATGAAGCTTAATGTTACAGAACACACACACACACACACACACACACAGTGTAACTTCATGTGACGCGTTGTCTGACTTGTGGTGGCTTTGAGCGAACCATACACTTGATATTACACTTTATGTATCCTTCCTGTCCATGATTTACAACAATAACTGTAGGGCAAAAGTTACAATATTATACTAATAACACTGTCATGAGTTGATACAATGACTAGTTACCAAGATACAGAGCACGATGAACATAACATGATAATGATAGTGAGGCCTGGAAGGGTTCATATCATAACTTGTGTGTTCGTGCGTATGTTGCCCCGTGAGAGTTACCGTGGGCCTCCATGTGCCCAGGTGGGATGGTCAAGTATTACACTATAAGTGTGTCAAATGAGGAGTGACCGATCCACTTGTAATTTAAGGTTTTTGAAATATGTGATTAAATTAAACACGATTTTTCATATAGTTAGCAAATTATGGGAAAAAAAAAAGATAAAGATGGGGTGTGGTGGAAGCATCGTGGTTTGGCACACACACACACACACACACAAGCACTGTAAACGTTGTGTGGATTCACGGGTGGTTTGGAAATGTATATTTCTATTCATACTTTCGTAACTACAACCTACGGTAATTTTTCTTCGAGTTCATATATAATGAAGATAATGCAGAGTATAAAATGCCATATACAATACTTATACATAATATCATCTATACAGCCGTACTATGACTGTTTGTGTTCGTGCGTGTGTTGCCTCGTGATAGTTAGAGTGGGCGTCCATCCAAAAAGGACGCTGTACTAACCTCCAGCACCAACCCAGGTGGGCTAGAGATTATGGTTTCCGAGTGTACCCCTGAAGCATCACGAATGTGGAATTTTGGGAAAGTGGCCCTGCGGTTGACCCTCACTCCCATGGATGGACTCTCATTAAAAACACATCTATTTTTAAGTTTCGTTGTTATGCACGGCCGCAGTTTTTAAGATAGACAGCTGTAATTTGGTGCTTATGTAAATAGCCTCGAAGATGTTCACGATACATTTAAAAGAGAAGGGAGGCGACCATCACTTAAAATTGCCCCCCTGCGCACGACGACAGTTTAAAATTTGGTATAATTATATTTTGGAAGTGCACTTAATTTTAGCTCAGCACTAACAGATACTGTGAACTGTCCCTCTAATACATTTTGAGTAACTTCACAAACCAGGGTACCAACAGATACTCCAGCTGTAATATATAAAACAAAGGTGGCAGAGACAAGAACTGGACCTTATGGCATTCCAGCATGTTTAAAAGTTTAAAAAATCTCGTCTTATTTTTAGGAGTGTGACGAGTAAAGGGGCTACCACACTTGTGCATCCCCCCACCATCATTTTCGCCGTTTTCAACTTTTTTTCTGGGATTTGTGAACTTTCGTACATCTGGTTCAATTACTATTTACCTGAATATCAATATACAGTCATTTGACTCCCCATCGCTTCACCAGAATGACAACCAATGTGCAGCAACAGCAGTGTATCTTAAGGAATATAGAAGCAGAAGCTTTTCTTATTGAGAAAATAAGAGAGTACCCCACAGCTTCCCCTCCTGAGTAACCTGTAGTCCAGAAGAATTCCGCCATGTTTGTTGTTATAGTTGACGTTGGAGCTGGACACACGCGAGGTGATTATGTGATAGTCCGTGATCGGAGACGGGACAAATCTGACTGGAAGTAAAATGTTCAAGTGTGATAGTCCCATGTACGAGAGTTCTGCTGCATCGGAAGAAACGATCAAATATTTTGATCGTAGCTTCCTCAGTCGCGTGAGTCCTCGCTTTCTACACCAAAACTAAAGAAGGCAATACATTAATTTTTCACTGTTAACAGCTTGATTTTGCCAAGAAATAGATCCTTGTGGACTATTAAGGTAGCTGCAAAATATTTATCTTTTATTATTTGGAGAAGAATGTGACGCATTGTTCATTCTAGACTCCAACTCCAGCGTTCTTCAAACTTCTTTCGTCGCAACCCAGTACGATTTTATGCAGTACCTTCACGACCCTATTGCCAGTCGTAAGAGCCCCCCCCCCCCCATTCCCTTATGGATAGAAACACATATATAGGTCATTCTACCAGTACATACCTGCATACATACAAGCATATTTATAATATATGTACATTCGAGGAAAGTAATTTCGCTACTTCTTCATGTTACTTATCTGATAAAGCTATCAATAATAACTTATAATGAAGGTAATTTGCATTACATCAGTTGCATTGATAAATTGTGTAATATATGTAAATTCTATTTCTTTATTACATCTTAGTGATGTTAATACCGTAGTTTTACTTGAATGCCATTAATTGAAATGACTTCATGAAGAGGAATTACCTTTCCCAATTATACATAATATGCACATATATTTGCCTACCTACCTACCTACATTCATACTTAAACATGGATTAAAAACATAAAATAAATGCAAACCATGGAGAACTCCTAAGTAAAATGCAACAACTAAGACGAAGTAAGGCTGTTTATTTGCCTGTTTAGTGTGACTGGTGGGCCTGCCTGTCGCTTGTGATCTTGGTTCAATCTGCCTTGCAGGAGGGTAACGCCACACACATATCACCTGCATTAATGAGTTGGTTTCTCTCTTTGGTTTTTAGCTTTGTCAGGGTGGAAAAACCTGCTTCACACATGTAAGTTGTTGTAAAAGTAAGCAACAGCAAGACACTTTCCTTACTTAGGAGTGGATATTCTTTGGTAACAGTGATCCCAGAATGATGACACAGATGATATGATGACTTCTTCTTCTTTCTTAATGTATGAACACATATGAGAGTGAGAAGCTCTTTTTGTTGATCAGGTATTAGGTTCAACCCCACAATAGATTCTGGCCTCTCAAAAGTAAATGGATCTTTTACTTCTTTTCAGGAAAAAACCGATCAAAGCTAGCACACTTTCTTCAGTGATGCATTTTCCCCAATATATTGCAACAGTGTTGGAAACATGTAGTAGATAGGGCGATCAACCCCAAGTCTGGTTTGCCATAGCACTATTGATTTCTTAAATGCTTTTATTTCCTCACTGTGTCGCAATACATCATTTCTTTTCCTTGCAGTTTTAGATTAAGTTCATTTAGCTTTGAAAAAAATGTTTGCTAGGTGTGACAGTTTCAATATCCACTCACCATTGCACAATAAGTCTGCCAAGTCAGATTTTTTCTCTAAGAGGAAAAGATGAATCTCCAATCTTAGCTCATAAACCCTTGTTAGAATTCTGCCACGGGAAAGCCACCGAACCTCTGTATGATTCAAGTGTGAATGGAAAGCTCCTATTTCTAAGCACAACAATTCAAACAGCCGACTGTTCACTGAACTTCCTTTGATCATATTAACAACTTTAACTACATCTTTCAGAACATCCTTGAGATTATCAGGGATAACTTTGGCAGCCAGTGCTTCACGGTGAATGAAACGATGATTCCAAGTTATGTCATTACCTGCTGCCTCTGATATTTCATTCACAACCCCACCATCAGTTGTAATTCCTTTGCAATTAACCCACTCCAGTTTGTATTTTCCAACCACACAATCATTTAAAACTGTATATCCCTGACCCCGAAGTGTGTGTAGGTAAGGTCAAACAACAATGTAAATCTTCCAAGAAGTCATCTTTCCATGCCCTTGTCGCTCGATGCTGCAGGACGCTCGCACATGGAACATAGGGCCAATTGCAAGAACATCCGCGGTGTACACCATGCTGTCGTAGCCCCATGGTCGGTTTGCAAGAAGCACTCTGGGCTAAAAAAAAAACTATCTACGATTCGTTATTGCAATAACGTGGGAGATTTCCGTGGTACTCTCACCCCCTCCCGATGACCACTACGATGGAACTATATTTTGAAACCAAAAGCAAATAAATAGAATTAGATGCACATAAATTGTATAAATCTGCAAAGAAATAATATTTTTTTTATAAGATATCCTCCATATAGAACAGCGACTACAAGATAATTAAATAAGCAGGTAATGACTGGAGCGTAGGAAGCTAGAGTCCGCCCGGCACCCAGTCTACAATAAAGGTTGGAGCACGACTTTGATAGCCAGACAAACATAAGGTAACCAGGAGGCGCTAGAATCACTAGGTAAATTTTAGTCGCGGTGAGTGTTAACGGCTTTTATATATAAAGGTGTTGTAAGAATCCACAATAAAATCTTTAGTCAGTCATAGAGAAATGTAGACACAGACAGAGCAAACAGACACAGTTCCGTGTCTATATATACATAATGAAAAAGAGAGAGTGAGAGACTCTTACTTATAGTTTAGTGCAGTATTGTAGGTGTGTGTGACGGGAAGCTATGCCACGGGTATACTGAGTCATGAATCATGGTGGAGACAGTCACCACAGCTGACTCCTACACTCACTCTCTCACACTCGGGGGACGGTGACCTCGCTGTCTTCTTATCTCCCTGGGAAAACAAACAATGGGTGAATAAGCTGAAAAATGTAGAATTACAAAAATACGCTTAGATTCAGTGTTGTAAATATCTACTGTTTAGTTAGAGAAAACGTATTGTTATTAATAATGACGATACTGTCTGATCACACGAAAGATGTGCTTAAAGAAAAAAATATTATTACAATACTTAATTTTGCGTTATGCCCTTTTTCTTTGGTGAATAAGGTGTAGCCGAGATATTCCACTCAAATACTGTATTTGAGAGACGCAATACTAGTTTATCAGTTAAAAGATTAAATATTTTTTTCCTCTGTGGTTATCATCACACCCGCCAGCCCACCTCCCTCCCCCTCACACACACATACACACACACACATATATATATATACATATATATATATATATATATATATATATATATATATATATATATATATATATATATATATATATATATATATATATATATATATATATATATATATATATATATATATATATATGTGTTAGCGGGAGTGAGAAGAGAAGACAGAAATGCTGCGTTTAGCACGTTGCAGGTGTGAGGTGCAGTTTCTTAGAAATTTTTTTTAGGGGGGTCGTATGCATGTTTTCTCAGCACATGAGGACAGTGCTGTCTTTTTTTTAGGGGGGTCGAGTGTTAGCGGGAGAGAGAAGGGGAGAAGAGAAGACGGGAATGCTGAGTTTAGCACGTTAAAGGGGTGAGATGCAGTATTTAGAACAAGTCTTTTCTGGGGGGGGTCGTTGCATACTTTTTCTCAGCACATGAGGACAGTGCTGTCTTTTTTTAGGGGGGTCGAGTGTAATATTCAGAAATTTCAGTGTAATTTCAAATGCCGCGCCATTAGAGAGACTGAGTTCAAGGTCGTCTGAGGGAAGAGAGCGCTTCTGCACGTAGTGAGAGTTTTTGGAACTAGGCCTATACGACATTAAATGTAGTTTACCGCATTAATAATGATGATTGTTGATTGGCGATTGTAGCAGTGGGAACGATCAGTGCAGGCTTGTCACTGGGTAGTGGGTATAACAAGGGATCTCTTGAGTGGACGAGTGCTCCCGACAACTAAAACGACAACGACACGGGACCAGCATCAGCATTGGGTGATCAGTTCTTACCACGTGTCTTCGGTCAACTAGAAGTTTTACCTACTGGCCAGGGTCACCTGCTGGCGTTCTCTCTTCCCGCCCATGGATGCACTGGGAGTACACTGAGGCTATCTGAGTAAATTAATGGTCACACGCTGAGACCAGGCGTCTAGGGGATACCTAGAGAAACATTTTATCTTCCTTATTACAGGTGCATGTTGAGTAGGGTGAAGCATGGTTCACGGGTATTGGTGGACCCAGTAACATCTCAATAATAGTGATAATATTTTTGTGTGTAGTTAATACCATTTTTTGAGTTACTGATATTATCTTGACGTGTGTAGTTTAATATTTCTTAAATTATTTTGATAGTATTGTTTTTTAATGTTTGTGTCACTAATTGAAACCAGAGTGATACTGTGATTTAGTTCCTTTAATGCATTTAATTTTTCTTTATAATCTCAATCTCAGGTATAACCTTTGTTCCCCAGAGTAGTGTTTAAGTTAGGTTAGGAAGGGTGCATCTGTTGGGGTAATATAATTTTGTTGAGTGCCCTGAAGGCCTATTCAGGGTGGAGTTAATAAGTTCTTACTTTGTTATACCATTTTCTCAGTGCTGGATATAATTTTGTTGAGTGCCCTTAAGGCCTATTCATTGTAGAGTTATTAATTTCTTATTTTTTTTAATACCATTTTTTCAGTGGTTGATATTATTTTGTTGAAAGCCCTTAAGGCCTGTTTCATGTATACAAGCAACATTTCTTAATACTTTAAATTTATTGTTGTCTAATGAGGCATTGTCTGAGTTTCTAATAATTTCAATATCATGTATAACTTTTATTCCCCAGAGTAGTGTTTTAAGTTCAGGTTAAGAGGTGCGCATATTGGTGTACCATTATTTGATTGTGTCTGTAGTGTTGGAGGGAATATAAGTGTCTAAATTTTACAGTGTGTCTCATTCATCCTAGTCACAGATGCTATCCTTCTACGGGTCACGGAGAATTCATTTTGTTAAGTAAATTTAAGTATTCTTTTGCTGGTTCGGGTTTATTCTCAAGGGGGCGCTTCCACTGCAATTTCCATCTAATAATTAATAAACTCCAAGTCAAGTGAGAAATTAAAGTCCAGTAATTCCGACCGGTTACACACACACACACATATATATATATATATATATATATATATATATATATATATATATATATATATATATATATATATATATATATATATATATATATATATTATATATGCAAGTAAATCACTGTAGTTGCGCGTGATCCAGGTATATGCTGATAACCACAAGGAAAGAAGAAAACACGAAGTTCCCAAGCGCTTTCGTGTAATTCACATCTTCAGGGGTGAGTACAGACTAAGGAGAGTAAGAGTACGAAGTCTTTAGTTAAGAGGTGAAAGAAGATTATTAGGGGTTGAGGGAAAAGTGGTGAAACTGAAATACAGCAGGAGTAGAAAGAATCTGGGCTCAACCAGATCGCTTCATCTTTCTTATTGGTGTTTTATCTTTGTTCTGCTCCCTTGGGTCGTCAGACCTTTGTATTAATATTGGTTTATTTATATAATGCTGCTTATTATTATTATTTTTATTATTGTTGGAGTTAGTGAGCCGCCCAGGTCCTTGTGTAACTGGGAGGGTAGTCACATTTTATTTATTTTTTATTTATTTTTTTTTTTGAGGTGTTAGTTAAGTGTTAGTTGTATTAGTCTAAAGGTACACTGTATGGAGAGGCCTGCCAGGTTCTTAGTGGAGCTGGTAGGTCACTCTTATCTTTATTCCCCTATTAATGTTTTATGTGTAAATGTGTATATTGGGGCAGGAGGTGGTTCAATTACTTCTTCCTGGCTAATGTAGCTGGGAGGGTAATCACATTATTATTATTATTATTATTATTATTATTTATTTATTTCGGGTTAGTGAGCCCGCCAGGTCCTTGTGTAGCTGGGAGGTAATCACATTTTTTTCCCTCCCAGCTACACAGGACCCGGGCAGGCTCACTAACCGAAAAAAAAAGTGGTGAATCGCTGATGTGGGAAGCGAGTGACACCAGCTCACTAGAGCAGCAGCTGAACACCTCAAAAAAAAAAAAACGAAATACTACCTCAGAAGATTGCTCAACAAACAAAAATAACGGCAAGCAGCGATAAACCCTGACGACACCAACATATACCTGGATCACGTGTTTACTGCCATATATATATATATATATATATATATATATATATATATATATATATATATATATATATATATATATATATATGTGTGTGGAGATACTGAACTTGACTTTGAGTTTGTGAGCCAGATGAGCATCAAGCCGGGCACCAGCTGCACTTAACAAGTAATTAGCATCTGTGAGCTTTAGAATGAATGTTTTTCTAGGTGAACACTTATATTCCCTCCTACAGGCACACAATCAAGCTGTGTGTTGAGAGTTCATTTCTCAGACTTTGAAAAAAAAAAAAAAAAAAAAAAAAAAAAAAAAAAAAAAAAAAAAAAAAAAAAAAAAAAAAAAAAAATGTGGACTGGAGTAGAACTTCAGGGTCAGGGATATACAGTTTTAAATGATTGTGTGGTTGGAAAATACAAACTGGAGTGGGTTAATTCCAAAGGAATTACAACTGATGGTGGGGTTGTGAATGAAATATCAGAGGCAGCAGGTAATGACATAACTTGGAATCATCGTTTCATTCACCGTGAAGCACTGGCTGCCAAAGTTATCCCTGATAATCTCAAGGATGTTCTGAAAGATGTAGTTAAAGTTGTTAATATGATCAAAGGAAGTTCAGTGAACAGTCGGCTGTTTGAATTGTTGTGCTTAGAAATAGGAGCTTTCCATTCACACTTGAATCATACAGAGGTTCGGTGGCTTTCCTGGCAGAATTCTAACAAGGGTTTATGAGCTAAGATTGGAGATTCATCTTTTCCTCTTAGAGAAAAATCTGACTTGGCAGACTTATTGTGCAATGGTGAGTGGATATTGAAACTGTCACACCTAGCAAACATTTTTTCAAAGCTAAATGAACTTAATCTAAAACTGCAAGGAAAAGAAATGATGTATTGCGACACAGTGAGGAAATAAAAACATTAAGAAATCAATAGTGCTATGGCAAACCAGACTGTTGATCGCCCTATCTACTACATGTCCAACACTGTTGCAATATATTGGGGAAAATGCATCACTGAAGAAAGTGTGCTAGCTTTGATCGGTTTTTTCCTGAAAAGAAGTAAAAGATCCATTTACTTTTGAGAGGCCAGAATCTATTGTGGGGTTGAACCTAATACCTGATCAACAAAAAGAGCTTCTCAGGAAAGAGTAGCGGAAAAGGGACGTAATTGCTGCCCGTATCATCATCGGGTATGACTTTGCTTGGGAGATTGGTATCCCCGCCTCCCTTGATCAACGCGCTTGTGCATTACGCAGAAGACCCGACAGCCGCACCCTTATCCACTACCTCCTAAGATGTCCCCAAACACACCGCTTCCGTGACGCCTGCTGGACCACCACTCCACGACCCTCTGACGGAGACACGATAATCCTCCCCATACAGGCCAGATATTATGTAAATAGCATTGATGATGTGTTGAAGGAATATCCTTCCTTCCTTAGGCTTTGGTAAGCCCCTTTATAATATTTATATATACTTGTAACACTTGTCAGATGCTTCTGGTGTTACTGTACAGGGGTACCTCGTAACAGCACTAGGATCCCGGTTCCTCTATCAAGGAATAAAATATTGAATTGACTACCCGGGCCGAAATGAAGCTTGATCATTTACCTGCTGTTCTGACCTCTTGTTTTAGTGACTCTAAGATAGCAGGGAAGGTCACACTAAAGAGAACAAAGGCGAATAAAATTAATGTATAATGTAATTGGGTAGAATT